ACCATTCCCATCCTGCCGACTCCAAGTTAAACGCCTCTGCCTGCCCCTCTCCCCTGAGCTGCAGATTTGTTTATCCAGGTGCCTCTCGACATCTCCACCTGGCCCTGTCTCTGCAACAGCAAATGGCACCCTGAAACAGAAGGCCTTCTTTCCCTTCCTCTTTCCTCCTTTCCCTCCCTCTCTCTCTCTCAATCTGCCACGTGAAGACGTAGCAAGAAATCGGCCTCTGCAAGCCAAGAAGAGACCCCTCACCAGAAAACCAACCTTGTAGGCACTCTGATCTCAGACTTCCGGGCTCCAGAACTCTGAGAAATGAGCTTCTGTTGTTGAAGCCAACCCTCCTTCCCCACCCAGAATGCCTGGTTCCCATCCCCCACCTCAGATCTGCCCGGCTTTCCACCTTCTCTATCTCAGTAAAAAGCAATTTCACTTTCCTAGTAGTTTGGACCAAAACCCTGGGAGTGACTGTAAGACACCTCTCTTGCTACCATATCCAATCCATCAGCAAATTGATTTGTACGTCATATAGGTTTTTCGATATTATTAGATTATCCATGCCCATAATTTTAAATTGCATCCTGTCAATAACAATAACGACACACACACAGTGCCCGGCACTGTTTTAAGGGCTCGGCATACATCACTTACTCGCCACAACAACCCGACGAGAGGGGCAGAGTTCTATCCCCATTTTATAGGCACAAAGCTAAGGCTCAGAGGACCTTGCCGGCATCGCACAGCCAGTGAGGGAGAGAGCTGAGATCTGAATCAAGGCAGCTTGACCCCAGAGTCATGGGTTTGACAGTGCTTTGCATTTATCGCGCACGTGAATGTCTTCATTGTTTAGAAGTTTCCAATGTTATGAATCATGTTGTTTTGACCACCTTCCTGACCACCTTTGCCTAATTTAGAACACTATGTTAGCATATGTTCTCAGAAGTCGAATTGTTTAAAGAGCACAAAATTCTTAATCCCAAAACCTATTATTAGTAAACATTGACTTTTTGAAATCTTAAGTTATGAAAAATTATTAGGGAACTTTCTCATGATAAAGAAGCTACCTAAGTATGATCTTTGATTTAGTCACATACTAGTAAATACTCATTCAATATTATGGACTTCAGTTTCCTCGTCTGCAAAATTAAGATAATCCCTACATTACAAGGATAGATACATCAGGCCCTTATTTCTTCTACTTTTTAAAAATTACTTTTCTTTCTTTTTTAAAAAAATATATTTTTATTGATTTCAGAGAGGAAGGGAGAAGGAGAGAGAGATAGCAACATCAATGATGAGCGAGAATCATTGATTGGCTACCTCCTGCACGCCCCTTACTGGGGATCGAAGATGCAATCGAGGCATGTGCCCTTGACTAGAATCGAACCTGGGACTTTTCAGTCTGTAGGCTGATGCTCTATCCACTGAGCCAAACCAGGGGCTCTTCTACTTTTTCTTTTATTTTTTATTCTTTATTGATTAAAATATTACATATGCCTCCTTTTTCCCCCCATTGACCTCTTCCTGGCCACTCTGACCCCAGCACATGCCCTCACCCTGCTAGTGTCTGTACCCATTGGTTATGCTTATCTACATGCATACAAATCCTTTGGTTGATCTCATATCCCCCTGCCTCCCCTGCTTTCCCTCTGAGGTTTGACCGTCTGTTGCATCTATCTCTGGATCTATTTTTGTTCATCAATTTATGTTGCTCATTATATTCCACAAATGAGTGAGATCATGTGATATTTATCTTTCTCTGACTGGCTTATTTCACTTAGCAGAATGCTCTCCATGTGCATCCATGTTGTAGTGAATGATAAGAGTTCCTTCTTTTTTATAACAGGTTAGTATTCCATTGTGTAGATGTACCACAGTTTTCTAATCCACTCATCTGCTGATGGGTGCTTACGCTGTTTTTAAATGGTAGCTTTTGTAATTTGTGCTGCCATGAACATAGGGGTGCACATATCCTTTCTGATTGGTATTTCTGGTTTCTTGGGATATATTCCTAGAAGTGGGATCACAGGGTCAAATCAAGTTCCATTTGTAGTTTATTGAGGAAACTCCATACTGTCTTCCATAGTGGCTGCACCAGTCCGCATTCCCACCAGCATCTCTATACTTTTAAATAACACTTTAAAAAATCTTAAAACAGCCACAGGAAAAGGAGAGATTACCTACACTGGAAATGAAATGAGAATAGCAGGCTTCTAGGTAGCCCTCTCCCCTCTGGCACCCGCCACATTGTTCCATGCGTCTGGTTCCATTTTGTTCATCAGTTCATTTTTCTTTTTTTCCCTTTCCCAAGGCAATATATCAGTGAAAATATTGCTATGAGAAATGTTCAAAATTTTGCTATGTGGATTTCTCCAAGATTTTTATACTTTTTCAACTTACATTTAAGTTTTTAATCTATTTTGAGTTTATTTTTGTGTATGCTATAAGAGGGTGGCCTAGTTTCATTTTTTTGCATGTATCTTTTCAATTTTCCCAATGCCATTTAGTGAATAGACTGTATGTCTTTGACTCCTTTGTCAAATATTAATTGAGCATAATGGCTTGGGTCAATTTCTGGGATCTCTGTTCTGTTCCATTGGTCTATATGTCTTTTCTTGTGCCAGTACCAGGCAGTTTTGAGAACCATGGCTTTGTAATATAGCTTGATGTCTGGTATTGTGATCCCTCTAACTTTGTTCTTTTATCTCAGGATTGCTGCAGCTATGCAAGGTCTTTTTTTATTCCATATGAATTTTTGGAGAGTTTGTTCTAGGTCTTTGAAGTATACCATTGGTATTTTATTGGGGACTGCTTTAAATCTATAAATTGCTTTGGATAGTATGGACATTTTAATGATATTGATTCTATCAATCTATGAACACAGTATATTTTTCCATTTGTTTATGTCTTCCTCTATCTCTTTTTTCAATGTCCTGTAGGTTTCTGAATACACGTCTTTTACCGCCTTATTTAAGTTTATTCCTAGGTATCTTAATTTTTTTGGTGAAATGTTAAATGGGATTGTTTTCGTTTTCTTTTTCTTTCTGTGAGTTCATTATTGGTGTATTAAAAAGCCATAGATTTCTGGGTGTTAATTTTGTATCCTGCTACATTGCCAAATTCATTTATTAAGTCTAGTAGTTTTTTGATGGAGTCTTTAGGGTTTCCTATATACAATATCATGTCATCTGCAAATAATGGCAATTTTACTTCTTCTTTTCCAATTTGGATGTCTTTTATTTCTTCTTCTTGTCTGATTGATATGGCTAGCATTCCAGTACCATGTCGAACAGGAGTGGTGAGAGTGGGCATCCCTATCTTGTTCCTGTTCTTAAGGGAAATGGTTTTAGTTTTTCCCATGAATATGATGTTGGCTGTGGGTTTGTCATATATGGCTTTTATTATGTTGAGGTATGATCCCTCTATTCCCACCTTGCTGAGAGTTTTTATCAGGAAAGGGTGTTGAATTTTGTCAAATCCATTTTCTGCATCAATTGATATGATTATGTGATTTTTATCTCTCAATTTGTTTATGTGATGTATCACATTTATTGATTTGCGGATATTGTACTATCCTTGCATCCCCAGAATAAATCCCACTTGGTCATGGTGTATGATCTTTCTAATGTAATGTTGGATCCAATATGCTAGGATTTTGTTGAGGATTTTAGCAACTATGTTCATCAGGGATATTGGCCTGTAATTCTCTTTGTAGTGTATTTATCTGGTTTTGGGGTTAGGGTAATGGTGGCTTCATAGAAAGAGTTTTGAAGTGTTCCTTCCTCTTGAATTTTCTGGAATAGGCTGATGAGGATAGGTTTTAGTTTTTCTTTGAATGTTTGGTAAAACTCCCCTGTGAAGCCATCTGGCCCAGGGCTTTTGTTTGCTGGATTTTTTTTTAATTTTTATTATTGCTTCAATTTCCTCTTTAGTTATTGGCCTATTCAGATTTTTTTTTTAAAATTCTTCCTTATTGAGGTTGTATTTTTCTTGGAATATGTCCATTTCTTTTAGGTTGAGAGTTTGTTGGAATAAAGTTTTTCACAGTATTCTCTTACAATTCTTTGTATTTCTGTGGCGTCTGTTGTTATTTTATCTCTTTCATTTCTTTTTTTAAATTAAATCTTTATTGTTCAGATTATTACATTTGTTCCTCTTTTTACCCCCCATAACTCCCCTCCACCCAGTTCCCACTCCCCCATCCTCCCTCACTCCCAACCCACTGTCCTCATCCATAGGTGCACGATTTTTGACCAGTCTCTTCCCGCATCCCCAACACCCCTTTCCCCTCCACGAATAGTCAGTCCATTCACTTTCTATGTCCCTGATTCTATTATGATCACCAGATTATTTATTCACTTGATTCTTAGATTCACTTGTTGATAGATGCATGTTTGTTGTTCATAATTTGTATCTTTACCTTTTTCTTCTTCTTCCTCTTCTTAAAGGATACCTTTCAGCATTTCATATAATACCGGTTTGGTGGTGATGAATTCCTTTAGCTTTTCCTTATCTGTGAAGCTCTTTATCTGCCCTTCAATTCTGAATGATAGCTTTGCTGGTTAAGTAATCTTGGTTGTAGGTTCTTGGCATTCATCACTTTGAATATCTCTTGCCACTCCCTTCTGGCCCATTTTGCTTTTCTGGTTGTGTGTTTTTTGGTTCTTTGTATTTCAAATCTTTGACTTGATTCTTGCAATCCTCTAGTCTGCTGTTGGGAGTCTGTATAATATCCTTCATTTCAGTCAGTGTATGCTTAATTTCTAGTTGGTCCTTTATCATAACATTGAGGATCTGACTAGATTTCTTGAGGATCTCACTACATTTATTGGGGGTCTCACCCGTCTTTTCAAGGGTCTTACTAAGTTTATCGGCAGCTTCTAGAAAGTTCTTGAAAAACCTTAAAACTGTGGTTTTGAACTCTATGTCCAGTTGTTTGCTTTCCTCCATTTCTGTCATTTGTGTCCTATTTCTTTGTCTCCACATTTTTTGTGCTTCCCTGTGTTGATGGACTGGCTTTCTGTGCTAGGTGTCTTATAGGGCCCAGTGGCTCAGCCTCCCCAATTACCTGAAGTGAACTCTCTTGGTGCACCCCCCTTGTGGCCTGTATGCACAGTCCTGTTGTAGTTAAGCCTTGATTGTTGTAGGTATCACTGGGAGGAATTGTCCTATTGGCTGTGAGAATCAGCTGTGTCTGCAGTGGGAAAACTTCTGTGCTGGAGACACCCCTCCGGGGCAAGATTTGCTTCAGTGGGGCTTTGATGCTCACTGAGTCACTCTGACCACTGGGTATACTGGCTCCAGGATCTTTCAGGAGGTGCTAATCTAGCCTTTGCCTGAGGCTATTCAGCCTGAGCTCAGCTGTGAAGGAATGCAAGTTGCCCTGGGGCCATGCGCCAGCTGCAAGTTTGTTAGGTAATTTTCAGATTGCAAAAGCCTCTGTGCACAGCTTGGGCGGGGCCAGGTCCCAGGGGATCAATAGGGTGGAGCAAACAACTATGGCTGATCATCAGTCCTCCCCTAAGAGGCCCCGAGTCTCAGTGTCCGGGTAATTGCTGCAAACACCTCTGAGAGAAAGCTGCCCTCGAGATTCCAACGATACCAGGCAGTCTAGCCTCTCCCTGTATCAGTCAGGGTCCCCAGAGATTCGCCTGGAACTGGAGTTCAGAGCAGTAGGGAGTTTGAGACTCCCTCTCGATTGAAAAAGCCAACCATGTCCTCAGCCGCCAGCCCTTTTCGCATCTGCCTCCGTACCTGTGCACTTAACTTCTGCACCGGAGCTCCTCTGAGTCTCAGTATGCTTTTCTCTTTCCTTATAGTTGTAGTATTTCCACTCAGCCAGCCTTCCTGTGGTTCTGGATGATGCCCATTCTGTCTTTTGGATGTATTCTTGAAGTGGTTGTGCGAGGCAGCAATCTCCGGTGTTTACCTATGCCACCATCTTGGTTTCCTGGTCTCTTTCATTTCTGATTTTGTTTATTTGGCTCCTCCTCTCTCTATGCTTTTTGGTGAGCCTGGCTAGAGGTTCATCAATCTTGCTTATCCTTTCAAGGAACCAGCTCTTGGTTTTATTGATCTTTTGTATTGTTGTTTGGTCTCTATGTCATTTATTTCTGCTCTGATCTTTATTATCTGCTTCCTTCTGCCCACTCTGGGCTTTTCTTGGAGTTCTCTTTCTAATTCTTTAAGTTGTAGAGTTAGATAATTTATTACCAGTTTTTAATTTTATTTTTTGAGGTAGGCTTGTATTGCTATGAACTTCCCTCTCAGGACTGTTTTCACTGTATCCCATAGATTTTGGATTGTTGTGTTTTCATTGTCATTTGCTTCCAGGATGTTGTTAATTTCTTCTTTGATCTCTTTGGTAACCCAATCATTATTTAATAGCATGCTATTTAGCCTCTAAGTGTTTGAATTTTTCATTTCTTTGTAGTTTATTTCTAATATTATGCCATTGTGATCTGAGAAGATTCTTGATCTGATTTAAATCTTCTTGAATTTGGAGAGACTTTGCCTGTATCCCATTATGTGCTCTATCTTTGAGAATGGCCCACATGCGCTTGAGACCTTACCTCTTGTTATGGCCTTCACTTTGAGGTCTATTTTGTCAGATGTAAGTATTGCTACCTCAGCTTTTTTTTCATTTCCATCTGCCTGAAAGATATTTTCTCATCCCTTCATTTACAGTCTGTGTGAGTCCTTTGTTATGAACTGGGTCTCTTGTAGACAGCATATCCTATCTAATAATAGACAAACATGGTAATTGATCATACCTTCACTATGCCATACCATTGGCTAATCAGAAAGATATGCAAATTAACTGCCAACAAAGATGGCGGTTAATTTGCATATGTAGGTGTGAAGCGGTGGATCGAAGACTGAAGGGGACTCTGGCCGGAGCAGCGAAGGCTTTGAAGGCAGCTCTGGCTGGAGCAGCAAAGGCTTTGAAGGCAGCTCCAGCCGGAGCAATGAAGGCTTGAAGGCGGCTCTGGCCCAAGCAGAGAAGGCTTTGAAGGTGGCTCTGGCCAGAGCGAAGGCCTGGGTCCCGGGTGCCAGAGGAAAACTGGTGCCGGCAACCAGGGGAAGGGAAGGCCTATTGCACAAATCTTTTTGTGCAACAGGCCTCTAGTATATATATATGTATCATATTTTCTTATCCATCCAGCCACTCTATGTCTTGGTTGGAGCATTTAGTCCATTTACAGTTAAGGTTATTATTGATAGGTACTTGTTTGTAGCCATTTTTATTTTTTGTGCCTGTGTTTCTTCTTCCCTTTCTATTTCTTCTTTTTACAACAGTCCCTTTAGCATTTTTGCTTTGCTGGCTTGGTAGTGATAAACTCCTGTAGTTTTTTGTTGTTGTTGTTTTGTTTTTTTGTTTGTGAAGCTCCTGATTTCTGAATTCTTACCTTGAATTCTTTTTCTGACATATTGCATGCCTCCATTTCATTTAGTACCTTTCCTGGTGACCCCTCCTTTTTTTCCTTTGGGGATTGTTTCTTTGTCTTCCCATTTTTTTCTCTCACCGAAGGATCTAGGTGCCAAGTTGCACGGGGCCTCTGGCTTCAGCAGTGAGCTTGGAAGGAGGGTTATGCTCTCTGAGACTCCCTGGAGGGTCCAGGCGCCAGGATGCGTGGGGCCTAGGGTTGAAGCGGCAGGCTTGGTGGGGCCCAGCGCTGAAACAGAGGGCTTGGTGAGAGGTTTGTGCAGTGGTGGGGCCCGGGATCAAAGTAGAGGGCATAGTGGGAGGGTCATGCAGTCCAAGATTCACCAGGGATCCCAGTCGCTGGGATGCACGGGGCCTGGGACAGAGGCCAAAGCTGCAGGTGGGTGGGAGGGGAGTGTGCTCTGGAACTCACAGGAGCCTGTAGCTAGGGAGGCTGGAGTTCTGGTGCTTGTGAATCTGCAGCTGAGGTAGCAGGTCTTTGGCCAGAGTGCCTGTAGGATCCAGTGTGGTGCCTGAAGCCAGTCTGGGTGGTGGTGAGGTTGGGATTCTAGTTAGAGCAGCTCTCCCCTTCTAGATGGCATGGTTTCTGTGCTAGCACCAGCCTTCTGGGAGTGAGTGTAGCAGTAGCAGGGGCTCCCCATCTAGGACAGCCTGGTCCATCAGCCCCTGAAAGTCCTTCAGGATCTAACTGTCACACACACACACACACACACACACACACACACACCACGTCTATATACTCCACTTTTACTCCCTCCCTCACTCACACTCTCTCCCTCACTGCTGTCCTTCTGGCCACCATCTTTGGTCCCTCTCTACTTTTTCATATAATTATATGGAGTTCTTAGTTCTTTTCACTTATTTATTTTTTAAAAATATCTTTTTATTGATTTTAGAGAGAGAGGAAGGGAGAGGGAAAGGGAGAAAAACATTGATGGAAGAGAGAAACATCATGCACCTGGACCAGGGATGGAACCTGCAACTTGAGCATGTGCCCTGACCAGGAATCAAACTTTGCAACCTTTCTGTGCATGGGACCACATTCAACCAATTGAACCACACCTGTCAGGGCTCAGGCCCTATTTCTATCAGAAGAAAAACTTTAATGTTACTTCCCCCCAACAAACCACAAATTCTGAAACTTAGATTTATTATTGTTCCACTCTAGGAAGGGGTTAATCCTTTGCATCTTTCAGACCATAGAACACTCAAGCCTGACTTTTGAATGCCTTCACACATCGGAATTTGAGGCCTACTTTGGCTCACTCATTATTCCTCTTCTATTCATCATCTGGACCTGAAGGGAAAATTAAGTAGAGTGAAATTTGCCATGGTTGTATATTACTTGTGACCACAAATATTTTGTTTCTCATGCTCTAATCTTAACTTAGACATCACAGGTTTGGATAATGAATAGTCAATAATATGCAAACTATGCTCTTATGTTCTTTTTTGTCTTTTTCCCATTCAGCCTTCAGAAGGTCAACTGCAATCATGCAGAACCGGTATATTGTATGCACCAACATTTAATTTTTTTAGAGAATTTTCTCCCCTTACTCTAGAAGTAGCTATATTATCTTATACTCTCAGTCAAGAAGAACTGACAGGACCCATATCTCAGGAAAGGAAAGTCTCAGAAGCCAAGAAGAGCCCTTCCCTTCCATGTGCTGGGTTAGCTACTGGCAGTCAGATGTCTGCTGGTCCTTTCTATGCTCTACCCTGAATCTAAAAGGTTGGAAGCCTGAGAACTATACAGGGTTGGGCAAAAATAACTGGTTTATAGTTGTGAGTATGCAAAACACAGTTTATTCTTGTGTTATTACTTATTAATGATTGTATTATTTTCCATACAAACAACTGTAAACTTACTTTTCCCCACTCTATATTTCCTGGAATACAAAGCCTGAGAATATCCCAGTGGCAGACAACTATGAGTGATGAGGAAGGCAGAAGGGAAGCAGAAGGTGTCATTTTCTTTTTTAAAAAAAATATATTTTCATTGATATCAGAGGAAGAGAGGAGAGATAGAAACATCAATGATAAGAGAGAATCACTGTTCAACTGCCTCTTGCACTTTCCCCACTGGGGATTGAGCCTGCATGTGCCCTTAAACTAGAATCAAACCCAGGACCCTTCAGTCCATAGGCCAACACTCTATCCACTGAGCCAAACCAGCTAGGGCGAAGCTGTCATATTCTTCCTGAAGCAGCAGATTAGAGATTTTACAGTGGCCTCTGGGGGGTCCCTCCACAAATCATCTGTCTCAGGAGGCAGTTTCCAGATGTTCCTGACCTATGTAGCAATATTTCCCTGAAAGTTAGCTGCAAATATGAGAGCTATGAGCTCCCCTTACCTTATATCTTCCAGGCTCTTCAACTGTTTAATAAGCCCCTAACTGCTTATTTTAAACTAGAGGCCCAATGCATGAAATTCATGCAAGAGTAGGCCTTTCTTCCCCCGGCTGCCAGCATAGGCTTCCCTCTGGCACCCAGGACACAGGCTTCCCTCGCAGTCCCAGCTTTGTCTGGAAGGTTGTCAGTCTAATTAGCATATTATGCTTTTATTATTATAGATACCTCTTGCTTCAAGTACCCAGCATGCTTTCTGTTTTTCTAACAGATGACGGACTGATATGTCCCATCTCCTAATTTATACAAACAGGTGGTCAGGCATCCATTTAACTAAGAAAAACACAACCCCGATTTAGATGATCAGTTGTGGACCCCCATCCAATAGATTGTAAGCTGATTTTAACCCAAAAGGTCACACATTTATGTGACTTGGTTTTCTTCCCCTAGGCTTGGAGTACTCCTCATACTACAGAGACCAGATCTAAAAAATGTAACACCAATATCACCCATCTCCCATGGTGATACCTTGAGGTTGGCTACACCCACACATGTTTATCCTTAATATTTTCAGTTCTCTTTCACCTTATTTCCATTGGATTAGTGTATATATGTTTTTTATGTATTATTATTATTTTCTTTTAATCTTTACCTGAGGATATGTTTTTATTGATGTTTTTAGAGACGAAGGGGGAAGAGAGACACACAGAGAGAGAAACATTGATTTGTTGTTCCAGTTATTTATGTATTCATTGGTTGGTTCTTATATGTGTCCTGGGAATTGAACCTGAAACCCTGACACATTGGATATTGGATGATGCTCCAACCAACTGAGCTACCTGGCCAGGGCTTAACCTGGTACTTTCTTTAAGACGGTTGTCATGCTCATTTGTGTGAGTGGTGAACTGAACAAGCCTAAGTCATACTGAGGACATGCATATGTATTACCACCATTTCCTGAAATGAAGCAATAAAGTTCTAACACAATTAGTGTTATTAGATGATTTCCATTAGATGCAAGTAGAGTATATTGAGGGAGAGATACCATTTTCTAATATGCACAAAGATGTGACCTGGGCTTGTGACAGGCAGTCCCTCACCCCCAATGCCCCCCCCCCACTTTATCTTTAATGCAACCTTATGGTTAACATAGAATGTGCATAGAATGTGCAATTTTAATAACAAATACAGTACAGATGCAAGTTATGGAAATTATGGAAATTTAAATTATGCAAACTTGAAGTTGCTGATAAAGAAAAATTTTACAAAGTTTTGCTGCATAAAACTCTCTAAAAAGCTTCCAAGAACTGCAAATTCCAAAACTGGCTGGCCCTGTAGGTTGCAAATCATGTCCATGGACTGGCACACAGAGGTGCCACATTATACAACATGATGTGAAGCACGTGCTCACCGGTGTGTACTGGACGGAGTCTTTACCTGCATCTTCAGTGACCATTGTGCTATCATTTGTACTATGAGCCTTTAGCTCAGAAGTTACACATACTAAAGCCCTCTGAACCCCTAACCACTGCCTTTAGTCATTTGTCATCTGCTGATTTGGCAAACAGCACACTCTACACAGCACTGGAGAGGATGCTATGAAAATCAAATATCGACTTAGCACCCCCTTCAAGCTTCTCCTCCCCTCCTCCCCTCACACACATATACAGTAACAGGATCTCTACCTAACATTATTCCTCTGTGATAACTGGTCTTAAATGATAAGTATTTTAAGTTATATGGTGTGCTCAGGAGAACATCCCTCACACAAAATGCAGCTTCCCTTTAAAAATTCTTCATGTCTTTAAGTGATTCTAACCCCAATGCTTAAGCCTGAAAGACAATTTGTAAAACTGGAAGGAGCCCTGAAGTTTGCAATTTAGCATCACATTTAGTGGTCCACCATGGGGATAGAATTATCTGCTAAGCATCCCAGAAATCAGATCTGTTTCTGGGTATTTCCTCCCCTCCCCCCCCCCCCCATTCTTTTTAGTAGACGGTGAGAGGCATCAGCGTGTAGAATAATGCTTTGGTTATTTTTATTTCAGGCACTAACAGGGCTTGAGTTTGTTGGTACCAGTAAGTCACCTTCACGGGTGTCTACAGGGCTTACTTTCATTACGCTTGTTCATTCAATTAAAAAAGAGGGCCAAGTGTTTTTATTGCCCCCTCCCTGAATAATTAGAGGATTAATGAGCTAATAAGCTCATAATACTGTCAACCTCATGAGGAAATTAGCCTCCAGTCATGGGGCAGGGCATGCCCTGTATGTAGTCTATGTGGGCCGCCATCAGCAGATAAACAGAGCTGCCCCTCACCCCCACCACAGCCTGAAGTGGGTGCTGCTGACTTCCCCCAGTCCTTGGTCCTGGACCACCCACCTATGGGCTGTGCACATGCTCAGTACCTGTGAAGCAGGGGCAGTGACATTTCTACATTTTGATTTTTAGTATTTATCAAACGCACCCAAGTGCTGACTGTGAAGGAGATGGGAGCTTTGATGGAGGCGTACATTTAGTGTCGTTCTTATTTGGAACCACTACACAAATGGGGGCAGGGTGGCACCATAATCATTCCAGTGCTTAGAGCTTCTAAAGGTTATATTAGGGCTCCAAGTCTACCACCCACTTTTAAAACAATTTCACCAAGAAATTTCAACAATTTACTCCCCAAAAACCCCACAAAAATCTGTCTTTCCTAGCAGGCAGCCTTCACAGTGGACTAAATTCTCCTATAATACAGACTTATCAGAACACCTTGCACAGTGCTACAAAATCGAAGAAAATTAAAGCTTATTTGACTAGGGGATAGTCCAGGCTTTGAGTCAAGAGCTGAGCTGAGCCCGGCCGGTGAGGCTCAGTGGTTGAGCATTGACCTATGAACCAGGAGGTCATGGTTCGATTCCCAGTCAGGGTGTATGCCCTGGCTGCAGACTTGATTCCCCGTGTGGGGTGTGCCGGAGGCAGCTGACCAATGATTCTCTCTCATCATTGATGTTTCTGTCTCTCCCTCTCCCTTCCTCTCTTAAATCAATAAGAAATATTTAAAAAAAAGAACTGGTCTGAAAAGTTTAAATTAAATTTTTAGAACCATCTGATCAATGACTTGCAGATAAGCTTGGGGTCCTAGAAACTGAGGAGAAACCTTCTTTTTCTATCTTTTTTTCCCAAGAGAGGGGTTCGCTGTGTTCTTGGTGAGTCCTGTGACCACTGCCATTTGTCATTTCCAAATACACATGACTTCTCTACTCCTGCACCATCTGAGACATGTGTGTGCATAGAAACAAAAGCTATATATTTCCACCACAAAATATATAGCTTTTCACACTTGGATCCCCTCCAGACACGATTCTGAATATGACACTCTGTTGCAGGGCACTAAAAATGGTGTTTTCCTCAAAATAAAACCTTTAAAGATCCCTTAGTAGCTATTTGGGGACTGAAATTCAATTTCAATTCCCCACCCTTTGGCCAGCTGTAGATTCAAAATGCTTACATAAAACAAAAAGGGTATGTACTTCATGGCAAATGTGATTTTTCCTCTGCAATAAAATGTGTGCTACAGTTACCACAAACTATATTTTTCCTTAGAAACTACACAAAGCAGCCCTGCCCGGTGTGGCTTAGTTGGTTGGGTGTCTTCCTGTGCATTGAGGGGTCAATTGTTGTTCGATTCCCGATCAGGGCACATACCCAGGTTATGGGTTTGATTCCCAGATGGGGCACATGCAAGAGGCAACGGATTGATGTTTCTCTCTCACATCCATGTTTCTCTCTCTCCCTCCTTTCCCCTCCCATGAAAATCAATAAAAACATTTTTTTTAAAGAAAATACACAAAGCAATAATGCACCTCAACAAGGGAGAAGAGATTCTTTCTTAAATTTTATTTCATAGATAGCTTTGATATAAGCTTCAGATAGACCCACGTACTACGCAGAGTTTGTGAAATCTATACCTTCAAATCATAACACTATTTTAGGCCATTATATCTAAAAGCATGACAAATCCTCTTATTCAAATCCTTTTATTACAAGTAGTTCTTGCACATAAATGTTACATCACAATAGCAGAAAAATGTAAACTTCTTTTGCAAACTACATAAATACTATAGATCTGCCTTGAAGTTACAGTTACTTTAAAATCAGACTATACTCTACATGCTTTACACAGAAAACTCTGGTCAGTAGCTTATGTGTATGAAACAGTTTCTTTTTCTTACTGACTTGCCTTTCACGTTGCCTACTTAGTGAGGTCTTTGAAGAAGAAACATTTTAAATAGGACCCACATCAAAATTCAGTCCACAAGTAAGACAAGAACCAGACGCATGTCCATAACCATGGGCAAAATATGAGATGTGAAAATTATTCCACATGCTACCTCTGACACGCCACCAATGGTGTGGAGGTAGCTGAAAATGAGGACTTGAGTCAAGCTATTGGATCCCACATGGAAGGACTTCAGCCTGCTTGCCAATGTACCTTTTGCCTGTTACAAATGACTCACCTCTTTCTCTTTCCTTTGAGAACACAATAGGTCACTTCTTCAGCTATAATCCTAGACTGGGAAGTCTAGGTGGCCAGTGAGCTTATGTCATCATCACTGTTCTTGATGTCTTTAAATACAAATTTGAAATGTATGAATATACAGATGCATTTATACACTCATGCATAATTAAAGGACCACAACGGGACTTTTTTTTTTTTTTTTTTTGCTTCAAGAGAAGTTTTTAATGTTGACTTTTTTTTGTTATTAACTTTACAGTAAATAATTTTCCTCAGAATGTTCTTTAAGTTAAAAAATCAAGTTTTATCTGAAGCCCTTTCCGTTTTGTTATTCTAAGATTCCTACTGAATACCTAGCTACTGGCCATGGTTTCTTCGAACAAAAAGAATATCATTGCTGAAGCATTTTTTTAAATTGTAAATGCATGCACAAAGATCTACCGAGGCTTTCCAAGCAGCTACACAAACTGGCTCAAGTAACAGTATTATTTATTGTGGCCTGAGCCCTTCCCCAACATCTTTAAACACAACGAGAATGGCTACAAGGTGGTGGCAGAGCCCAGAATGCGAGTCCAGGCCAGCGGGGCTCCGAGCGGCTCACAGGATGGCAAGCAGGAATCCACCGTGCGATTCCCCCTCTTCCTGTGCATTTTCTCTAAATGCACGGTGTCCTCCCTTTACTGCCCAGGCTTTTAAACTACGTAAAACAATTCCTTAAAAAAAAATCTAGCAATGATTAATTGAGACCTCAAATAACACTGTACAGGGGCTTTGTTAGAGACAGGCAACCACTCTCCACAGCTCTCCTCCCAGGGCAGGCTGGGTGGGCGGAGGGCACCGGGTTTAGCAGCTGCTCTTGTTGCAGACGGTGCTCTGGCTGATGCCATCCTCCATGTACTGGCTGCCCGTGTCGCTCCTGCTGAGGACTGTGGAGGTGATGCGGGAGGGCCGCCTCTCCGGGTTCTTCTCCTGAGAGAAGCAGCAGATCATCTTCTTCATGGTGCTGTACATGTCCTCATCCTTGTAGGAGTAGATGACAGGGTTCATGAGGGAGTTGAGCAAGGCCAGCAGCAGGAACCACCTTTTCACGTGCTGCAGGTCGCACTGCTTGCAGTTAAGGCCGTCCAGCAGCAGCACCACCAGGCCCGGGGTCCAGCACACCACGAAGGCCCCTGGAGGGAGAGAGAAGCAAGCGACAGGCGCTCAGACCTCGGGCTGCTTCTGTAGGGGCTTCGGGCCCAGCCTCCTGTCAGTGGCATCAAGGGACCTTAGGAATTTGTTCTGACAACTGCCAAGCAAATGCCCATCTTTCACCTGAGCGTGAGACTGGGCTTGTGAGAGGCAAAGAGCTGAGGACCCTCTGACTATTACACGTTCTATTGCACCTTCTTACCTGCTTATTCAGGTCTGGTCATTAGGGCTTACACCTGCCTCCTGCTTACTCAGCGCTACACACACCTTATCTGTTAGTTCTTAGGCAGCGGTTCTCAACTTGGGGGTCGCGACCCCTTTGGCGGTCAAACGACCCTTTCACACGGGTCGCCTAAGACCATCCTGCGTATCAGATATTTACATTACGATTCATAACAGTAGCAACATTACAGTTATGAAGTAGCAACAAAAATAATTTTATGGTTGGGTCACAACATGAGGAACTGTATTTAAAGGGCCAGAAGGTTGAGAACCACTGTGAGCCTCACGAGGAGGCCGCTGCAGTCATTATCCACGTTGTGCCAATGAGAAACTGGAGGCCCGGATCCAGGGGCATCTGCAGGGAGGCCTCAGACACTTACCCAAACACTCTGCTGTTCTCTAAACCAGAATTCCTAAATGTTTTCCTGAAAAATAAGACACAGTGCAGTCTCCTAAAATTTTATTCTTTAAGAATCCATGTTGGTGCTTAGTAAGCACTAACATATCCATAGGCCATCTGCTTAAAATCTGTTTTAGACTAAGATTTTTTTTGAGTCAGAAATAAATTTCTTTCATGATGAAACAGAGATGTGCTTTTTAGCACATTTATTTATTTAGCACAATTTTAGCACCAATTACACATGAAAGGCAGTCTCTCTGAGCCTCTAGCCATCTGATTATACTCAGCTTACCTCTAAACATTCTGACATGTTTTTCCTAAAATATGAGACATAGGTCCGATATTCCCGTGCCTTGTCAACATAACCTCGGACCACAGTGCTCATACAGTGCTTCCTATGAGCCAGGAGCTGGTAGAAGTGCTTTCCTTTAGTAACTCAGAGAGCCACACTAGGAGGCAGGCACCATTAGCATCCTCAGGAAGCTGAGGCACAGGAGAAGTGACTTGCTCATCATCAAATAGCTTCTAAGGGACATCTCATTCTGAACCCAGGCAGCCTTTCACCATACGCTGTGCTCCCAGCCACGAGGCGACCTGCCTCCACACTAAATGCCCTTGCTTATCTATTCCATAAACATTCACTGTGAGTCTACAATGTGCCAGGAGCCATACTAGGCAGTGAAGGAGGCAAAGACCATGTGCTCCGGGAGCTAACAGGTTAACGGGGGAGAGAATAAGCAAGTGAGTCTACAAACCACATCACCAACTAGTTTCTCTTATTGGTTAAAAGTCATCCTGGACAACATTCCTCTTGTTGCTTTGTCTTCTTTCAGAGAGGAATAGGAATAAGCAAGTCAAGTCGAGAATTCTAAAGCGTCACTGTGAGGCCATGAAACTCCATGAGCTTTGGGGTCAGACAGCTACACCCAGGTCCTCATCTTATGAGCTGCATGACAGAGGCACATCATTTATCTGAGCCATCATTCCCTCGCTGATAAAATAAGGAAAATAATCTCAACTGCGCAGGTGGTTGTGAGGGTTAGAGGGAATAGAAAGCGGTCCCACCAATGAGTTGGGTTCAGCAAGCAGTGTTACCCTGCAATGCCAAACGTAGATGTCTAAGAGGTAGCAGAAGACTTAATTTCCCACGTCATACTTAAAGCTCCCCAGCAGCTTCTGTTTTCTCCAGCCTGAATGACTCTTGGTCTGGCTGACATAAGTGAATGAAGAAGTGCACTCAGAGGTTCCAAGAGTTCAGAGATTTGGATCCCAGCTCTTCACTTACTGTACAACTCGAGGAGACCCACGTCCTAAGTAGGGGCTTCGGCTTCCAATGCCGCAAAATGGGGACTTCAGGCTAGTTCTGGGTTTTTTACATTGTTTAAGGATTGTACACCCTTAGGGGGAGTGCAATCAATTTAATGGGTTTGGACAAGTTTTTTTTATTTTTATTTCAATGAAAGGAAGGAATGAAATGGAAAGGCTCATATTGTACTATCCACCCCTGGTCGGCACACTGCAGCTCGCGAGCCACATGCGGCTCTTTGGCCTCTTGAGTGTGGCTCTTCCACAAAATACCACGTGCAGGCGCGCATGTACAGTGTGATTGAAACTTCGTGGCCCATGTGCAGAAGTCGGTATTTTGCAGAAAAGCCACACTCAAGGGGCCAAAGAGCCGCATGTGGCTCGCGAGCCGCAGTTTGCTGAGCCGCAGTTTGCCGACCACTGAGTCCTAGACTAAGGGACATATTCTTTCATGAACTTCTGTTTCAACTTTACAAACTGTATTTATGTGTATATTGGGTATTAAGTAAAACATTATTTTTTACTGTTGGACTAAGTAAAAAAGTTTTAAAAATACTAGCTTAGGTAATATTTAAGGCTCTAATCAGCTAAACTGGTTTGTATTTCTCATAACAGTATCACTTTTGTTCTGTCTGCTCTTCCCAAGAAAGGGTTACTATGTTGTCAAGAGGGAAGAACTAGTAAGAGCCAGGCATCAAAAGTTGCAGCTACTAACTTTGATGTCAAGAGTCCTTGCTGTGTAAGGTGTATATTTCCAAAGAAATTCCTTTAGGAGTGTTTAAGGTTGTTGTGTTAATGAGTAATATATTAACTTTACTCTTTGTTTAATACATAAGTCTTCCAAACCAATGGGAAGGGAAGAATGGAACTAAAGGAAAGGAAAACAGACCTCAAATAAAATAAAAAATAAAAAGGAGGGTGGGCAGCAAAACACAGAAAAGTGAGACAAATAAAGAACAAAATAAGATGCTGGAAATGAGTCCAAATATACCGAACACCGAACTCAGATTTAACTGTGGTGTAGGTTTTTTTTGTTAATATATTTTTATTGATTTCAGAGAAGAAGGGAGAGGGAGAGATAGAAATATCAATGAGAGAGAATCATTGATCAGCTGCCTCCCGCACGCCTCCTACTGGGGATCGAGCCCACAGCCCCTGCATGTGCCCTTAACCAGAATCAATCCCAGGACCTTTCAGTTTTCAGGCCGACACTCTATCCACTGAGCCAAACCAGCCAGGGCAATTGTGGTATAGTTTTTAAAAGCAGGTGAATCTGGCCCTGGCGGTTTGCTCAGTGGTCAGAGTGTTGGCCCACAGACTGAAGGGTCTTGGGTTCAATTAGGGTCAAGGGCAGGTACCTCGGTTGCAGGCTCGATCCCCAGCCTGGTAGGGGTGTGTGCAGGAGGCAACCAATTGATGTGTCTCTCTCATCAATGTTACTCTCTATCCCTTCCCCTCCCTTCTATTTTTTCTAAAAATCAATGGGAAGGAATATCCTCAGTTGAGGATTAACCAAAAAAAATTTTTTCTTAAAACAAGTGAATCTAAACAATATGATGTCTAACAGTGCATCTATATGTGGTAAAACCATGAGGAGAAAGCAAGATGATTAACACAGAATTTACAATCTGGTTACTTCTGCAGGAGACAGAGGGCCACTGGGATGGGGCACATTTGTTCTAGAGATAATGGTAATGCTCTATGAAACTGGGTGGCAAGTACACAGGTATTTAAACAATATTTTATTTAAACTGTAGCTATATCTTCTATAATTTTGTTTGATATATTTCACATACACGTATACATATAAAAAAAGATAAAAGTAAACTGACACCATGTTTTCCTAAAAACTGTTTTTCTAAATGGGATTAAAAAAAATCATAAAAGCTTTTTTCCCCTTCAGCATGAAACTCTAGTTGGGATTAGTCAGAGAACTGAAACGCTCTAAGTAAATTTTCAGATCTATGCTCTGTTTGTTATAGGTGGTAATTCAGACAAATTTTCCCTTTGTGTTGAGTTATGTAATTCATTCAATCAACACCAGACCAACTTGTCATTGAGCAATGATTATATGCCAGGCACTGTTACAAGCATTTTATATAAAGTAACCATTCAATCTTCATAGCAACCCTTGGAAGTAGGTACTAATGCTATCCTCATTTTAAACCCGAGGAACGGAAGCACAGAGCAGTGAGGTAATATGCTCAAAGCCACACAGCTGATCAGAGGAGGAGCCAGGATCTGAACCCAAACCCCTGGCACCAGAGCCTGTGCTCCAGTCCACAGGCTAGGCTGCCCAGCAGGGGGCCATAAGGGTCTTATTACTAAAGTGAGTGATGGAAGAGGGGGGAGGGGAAGCCACTTCTGGCCTTTAAAGTCCCCTTCATAGTGTGACATATCTGACTGTGAGGCTGCATCTTTCACAATTAAGTCATTCTCTGGTTTGCTAACAGAAAGATTCCCTGGTTATGGGAGGAAGGAGGGAGGGAGGGAAGGAGGGGAGGTGGGAAGGGGAAGGGAAGGGAGGGGAGAAGGAAGGAAAGAGAAGAGGAGGAAAGAAAGAAAACAAATTCCAACAAAAATATAAACTGGCCATGGGAGTAAGAAGAGAAACACAAATCTGACCCTTCCTTCATGCTGTTTCCAAGAGTAACAAGAGGCAAGTTTTCTTTGACAGAACAGCCCCAACACACTAACTGCTAAGCTAGAGAGAGTGCACTCAGTGGTGTTGTCTGAGATGATGATTACACTCGGGCAGTGACCCTGGGAAGCACCACTTTGCTCCATGACTCCTCCACCCGGCACATCTCAGAGCAGGTGCACAGCTTATCTAACAGCTCGTTCTTCTGTGTTTTTACTGTATATCAGCAGCTAGATATGAGGCCGCCCAAAGAATTTCAAAGGAGAACATGTCAGGAATGGTTTGGCCTTGGAAACTATAATCTTGGAGGATTCTTGGAGAATATGTGAGATGTCAGAAATATACAAATGGCCATTTCTTTCTTTCCTTTTTATTTATTGACTCGAGGCCCGGTGCACAAAATTCGTGTGTGT